TCACACCCGATTTTCCCATTCCCTTTTTTTTTTATTTTTTTTGAGTGCAATAACTCAATTTCCCCAAGTTTTTTCTTTTTGAAAAAATCTGAGTGCAATTTGAAAGTTGAGGGGTTCCCAATTTTTTATTTCAATTTCTCAGTGCAATTACTCAATTTCCCCAAGTTTTTTTTAACAAAAAATTTGAGTCAATTTGGAAGTAGGAGAAATAAAATTAGGGATATTTTTTTTGTTTTGGATATATAAAATGACAATTAACAATCTAGATTTATCAAAGGTATGTTGTGTTAATTTTTATGAACTTAAATGTTATAATTATCACTATCAACCAAACAAGTTGATAGAACTCTTTCTATCCAACAAATAACACCTTAATTTTTTATGGGATTGAATCAAGTCCAATCAATAAAACTAACCAAACTGACCCTTATTGTTGGAATGGAAGATGGACTTTTGAAGTTAAAATAATTATTAATTATTATTTTAGGTATTAAAATTATTTTATTAGAAATTTTAGTAATAAAATTTGAAAGCCTTGAAAATTGAGGAGATATCAGGAAATATTCTTAGTGTTATTGTGTTTTTTATGGTGTTTTTATGTCATACTTGCAATTAATTTATGCACTATGTTAGTTAAGTATAATTAATAATTAATGTCGACTGGTAATTTATATGGAAATTTGGAGTATTGGATCAGACATGTGAGCCAGAGTGATTGAGAAATATTAGAAGCACCAAAGGCTGCCACTTGTGAGCCTTGCATCTTAGAAGAGAAATACTCTAAAGTTTAATAGTATGTAGCGATTGATTTAAATGTCCGATGCAACTGCCACCACCAACTAAGGGAAATTTTAATGATGCATGTAAACATAACAGGGAACAGATGTGTCGCTCATGTATGTTTGAATATTTCTTTGCCATATTATCTGAGAAAAAGGTGTGAAATTTACAGGTTGAGATTGCCAGAAGACATGAGGACTACGATCTCTTCACCAATGCTTCACATCCTCAGTTTGAACTTATAAAGGCAGGGAACTTTTGTTGATAAGTTTTTTGTGACACCCCCCTTTGCTGACATCTTTGCTTCTTTTCAAATACTCATCCTCTTTCCATTTATTCATGTACTCAGAGGGAAGTTCTGAAGTCAAGAAATAAGGAACTGGTCCAACTGTTTGAATATGCTGTTGGTATCCATCATGCTGGGATGTTACGGGCAGACAGAGGCCTGACTGAACGTCTTTTCTCCGAGGGACTTTTAAGGGTATTATAACACTTGTCAACTCATATAATTGTATATTTTAACATAGTTTCCTCTGAAAGATGCTTCCTTCCTTTCTAGGTACTCGTTTGCACAGCGACTCTAGCATGGGGAGTAAATCTTCCTGCTCACACTGTGGTGATTAAGGTTGTTCTACAGTAAAATTTGAATATTACCCTTTTGATAATGCATCTCTTATGTGTACGGATCTGCATTTTCAACTCTGAAATACTTTCTTTGTTTATGTTCCTTCTAGATCTGTCTCTGCCTTATATTCTGGTTTTTTTTTTTTAAGTTAGTGCTTTGGTTCATGGTAATCTTGTCCAACCCTCATATCAGTGAGAAATTGAATGTGACATTACGATAATTGCGATGGATCATATCTAAATCTTGTTGGGTTTTAATTCACGAAGATAAGATTTCTGGTCTTTCGTGGTGTCTGAAATTGTTAGAGACTGTATTCTTGTGCTGTACTTGCTCTGTTTTTCTTGTAACATCCCTATGTTGTTCCTCGTCTCATTTTCATTCTCCCATGTTAGACTGTCTTTGGAAAGTTATAATTCCCTATAAAGCAGTAAGCATTCAATCACTTCTTCTGGAGTTGAAAATGTTGTTGTGTTGCTGCAGTTGCAAGTACAATGACCAGGCTGGTAATGTTGCTTATGCTTTTTTTCATCAGGGAACTCAAATATATGACCCAAAGGCTGGTGGGTGGCGAGATTTGGGCATGCTTGACGTAATGCAGGTATGAGTCCACCTTACTCTCTCTCTCTCTCTCTCTCTCTCTCTCTCTCTCTCTCTCTCTCTCTCTCTCTCTTTCATATCCTTCTGAGTTCATTAGATTTTCTGTAGATATTCGGTCGTGCTGGAAGACCCCAGTTTGATAAAAGTGGTGAAGGCATCATAATAACCTCTCACGACAAATTAGCATATTATTTGCGTCTTTTAACCAGTCAACTTCCAATTGAGAGTCAGGTAAATTCTTACTTGTCTATATCTTTAAAATTGTGATTGTTAGCTTATATTCTGGATTTAAGAACTTTAAGCTAGTTCTGAAATTCACTGATATTCCTAAAGGCACTTTGATTGTGTTTGAAAAACAGATTTGTTTGTGTTTGAATAAACAGAAGATTCCTGGAAAATTTGATAACTCTCCAAATTTGAAGTTTTCCTGGCTTAGAACTTTGTTGGAACCATGAGATCTGAATTATTAGTTATGGTTAGTGGCATTTTCCATATTCATGTTTACTGTAATTTGCAGTTTATAAACTCCTTGAAAGATAATCTAAATGCTGAGGTAGCACTGGGGACTGTGACAAATGTTAAGGAAGCTTGTGCTTGGCTGGGATACACATATCTTTTCATAAGGATGAAAATGAATCCACTGGCATATGGTATTGGATGGGATGAGGTACTTTCATGGTTCAACCTCTTTTATAATAGTCAACATACTATGCTGCCTATCTCATTCTTATGTCATTAATTATATTTTTTTTTTTATGTCTATTCAGTTTCCTTCGTCTGTGACAGAAATTAAGAAATTCATTTAGTAGATGTGCTTTTTGTTGCTCAGTTGAAAAGATGTAGTCATAGTCAGTCTAACATGTCATAACTGCAGTCACTAGGCATGCATCTAATTTTGGGAATCATCTTATGGGGATTCGTACTGACGTTCGCGTCATTGAACCCTAAAAGTATCTCCATAATCAATGAATCTTCAGAGAATCGCATGATGTTCTAATATGCGAGGCTGACTTGACTCGGATCTTGTCTTTTAGGGCCATCATACTCAAACTTTACTTCAGAAACTCCTCCCCTATGTGTATGTCTCTGGTTGACTAAGTTATAGTAATGTGCCAGGTCATCGCGGATCCTTCATTGAGTCTGAAACAAAGAGCTCTGATTTCAGATGCTGCACGTGCTCTCGACAAGGCAAAGATGATGCGCTTCGATGAGAAAAGTGGAAACTTTTACTGCACTGAGCTTGGACGTATTGCTAGCCACTTTTACATTCAGTACTCCAGTGTTGAAACCTATAATGAGCTTTTGAGACGCCACATGAGTGATACTGAGGTAATGTATCATAAGAGTAGGGTGTTTTTATTTATTTTTGCTGTCCTACCAGGAGATGAATTATGTTGATCTGGTTTCTTTATCACTCATTACTCAATAGTTAGTAATTACTGATTCATTACATCTGTACTTCCTGTGTTCAAAATATTCCGAGTTTGTGCACTTTATGCCTTTTGCTTCCAAGACTGAAATCTGTTTGCTTATAATATATTTTGCATGATACCGGTAGTCAAGACAACATATATAACAGTGGAACCCGGAGCCAAAATGAATTTCTGTACTAAAAGCATATGCCCTATTGTAGCTTCTCCACGTCGAGTGCTCACTGAAAAGAAATTTGGGCGGAAACTACTTGTGGTAACCAACTGAATGACCTCTAAGTATATGCTTGAGAGTAACATTTATCTGAAGAAGGCAGGCATGCAAACAGGGGAAATATATTTAGTCTATGAACGTCATTTGCTGACATTTTTTTATTTGGACCATTTTTTCCTTGAAAAGGTGACATGTAATCAGTTCTTATATATAATCATGTAATTCATTCAATATAAAAATGTTTGATTATGGATTGCACTTCTACAATTATTTGGAATGCTGGAAAACTTATAGATCTTCTGTTCTCTGAGTAGGAGAATCTTTCACCATTTGAGCTAGAGCATTTTTTGTGTTCTCTCTCTTTTATCTTTATTTTGCCTTTTGGTTATCTTTTCACTTCTAGGGAAGAAAATTTGTCAGAATGTCTGATCAGATCTTGTTCTGTGCTTCAAGTTAGGGATCTCTAATGCCCCTTCGGATGTTTCAGTCGAACGATAAGCATCCATGCGCATGGTTTAGAATTTCAAATTACATAGAAGCCTAATAACGAGAAATGTTTTGGTTTGTTGTGTTTTGCACATACTCCATCTTTACTTTCCAATGATAGGTTGATGTTGGCAAAGAAATGTTAGGTTTGTTCATGTTTTGCACGTCCAACATCTTTACGTTCTATTGATAGGTTGATGTTGGCAGTGAATCTCAGTGAACAGATTTCTTAGATGTTAAGTATATAATTTTCTCTTGACCTATGGTCCATCTTTCTATTCTTGTAGGTGATTGACATGGTTGCACATTCTTCGGAATTTGAAAATATTGTCCTCAGAGACGAAGAACAAAATGAGCTAGAAATGTTGGCTCGCAAATGTCCTCTTGAAATCAAGGGTGGTCCATCAAATAAACATGGAAAAGTGTCGATACTTATCCAGGTCAATGGTTATTACTTCCTAGAAAGTTGGCTGTGTTAGTTTTAAGGGAAAGTCATCCTCGTCTTACGTTTGTGTATTAAATTTGTCTTACAGATGTACATATCCAGGGGCTCAATTGATACTTTTTCACTAATTTCTGATGCGTCATATATTAGTTCAAGCTTGGCTCGTATTATGAGAGCCTTGTTTGAGATTTGTTTGCGGAGAGGGTGGAGTGAGATGTCATCTTTTATGCTGGAGTACTGCAAGGCCGTGGATCGTCAAATTTGGCCCCACCAACATCCACTCAGACAGTTTGATAGAGAAATTTCAGCAGAAGTTTGGACATAAAACTTCTTTCCATTTTGGGGCATTTTAAGTCATATATTTCTAAAAGAGCCATATGTTTTGAATTATTTTTCAGATACTGAGGAAACTTGAAGAAAGAGGAGTGGACTTAGATCGTCTATATGAGATGGAGGAAAAAGAAATTGGATCTTTAATTCGCTATGCACCTGGAGGAAAGGTATCTCTTCTATTTCCCTGCTGTTATAGAACTTGGAAAAAAATTCCTTCCTCTGTGATACGCTACACACAATGTGGCCTGATTTCCTCTCAATTGAAGGTGGTCAAGCAATACATGGGATATTTTCCAATGGTACAGTTATTTGCTACAGTAAGCCCAATCACTAGAACTGTTTTAAAGGTACCGGCAATGTGGAAAACTCTCTCTCTCTCTCAATTTTTTTTTGTCTTTTAGATGTTAAATATTTTGTAATTCTAATTCTCGCTAAGAAACATCATGGATTTGTCTTAGGTTGATTTGACTATTGCACCTGAGTTTGTCTGGAAGGACAGGTTTCATGGCACTGTGCAGCGCTGGTGGATTTTAGTTGAGGTGCTTCCTTGCCAGTTTGTTATTTATATTTTGCAAGATTGTGAAGTTGAAAGGTCTTTTTCTCTAATTTCTATGTATTGGCAGTATTGTGATGGCTACTGGGTTTTAGGCATTTTGAAAGCTATTTATTGTGAAGTGACAAGAAAATAAGGTCTGACTTCCTTGATGAATCCTTAAGTTCACTAAACCTGATAGTTGAGAGATGTTAGTTGTGGGAGGGAACAAGATTGATGCTATTTGAAAAATGAATCCTCGGTTGCTATTTTTAGCTTTGCAAAAATATACCGATTGGCCTTTTCCAGAACAGAAAAGTGAACAAATTATTCTAGTTAGTTCTTAGTTCCATGGTCTTATGTAGACTTAGTAAAAGTTTGAATTGATGCCAAGAAACTAAAAAAATTAATGCCAAGCTCATATTTCAAATTGTCACAAGACATTTTTAGAATGACTTATTTGTTTGTACTCCACGAGTTATATGCACATCAATATTTTATATGCACTGTGTTCGCTAGGGATGTGCTGAGATACTAAATAGAAATATGCAGGCTGTGATTGCTGGGCATCTATCTATTTTCTTTAATTTATAATTGTACTGAGGATGATGTGAAATTTTTTCTTACTTCCTTCAACAGTTGAACACTGAATATATGATTTGTCATTCTTTTATTGGGAGAGACATGAATTTGTATTTGTAATATATTTAGCTTACAATGTTTGCATTTGGTAAAGTGGTGATTGGGTTAAAGTATTATGAATAAACTTAAGAACATTACTTGGAAGTATATTTATTTGCTAAGTACGTCCATATTATTATGTTAACAATAAATATTTGTTTCTCTTCAAATACATAAATAGTTAAACTGTTTTGTACAGGCAAGTGTATCAAATAAGCTCTTATATATACATCATGTATTTATGCATAAAGCTATTATAATTTAATATTGTTGGTTAATTACTGATTCTTTTTTAAAATTGATTAGGTTCAGTATACAATATAATTGTGCCTAGAGATATATACTTGAACGATTTCGGGCACAAATCATTTTGGTATCTTTAGAAATCCATAGTATAATAGGTGAGTAATGAGAAAGGTTATGTACAGATTGATGCTCGTCACATAAACTTATTACTCTACAAATGATGTTATAAGTACTGTTCGACTACTGGCCACCTATTAACACGGTGATGTTCATTTGCAACATTTGTCGAATGTTTAAGTTGTTACAGCTTCTCAGATACTCTGTGTGATTTAGTGGCTGATCATTTACTATTTAGGATTCTGAGAACGATCATATATACCACTCGGAGCTTTTTGCACTAACAAAGAAGATGGCTAAAGGGGAGCCTCAGAAGTTATCTTTCACTGTTCCTATATTCGAGCCACATCCTCCTCAGTATTTCATTCGTGCAATCTCAGATTCATGGTTGCATGCGGAGTCTTTCTACACTATATCTTTCCAGAACCTTGCTCTTCCAGAGGTGGTTTATCGATTGACTTACTAGTTGTCATTTAAGGGTTGATGCTAAACTTGTTCCTTCCTTCAGGCACATACAACTCATACTGAACTCCTTGATCTGAAACCTCTTCCCAAGACTGCACTTGGCAATGAAATTTACGAAGCATTATATAAGTTTACACACTTCAACCCCATACAGACACAGGTTCTTTCTTCTGCATATTTCCTTTCCTTTATGTCCAACCTTGCCTTTTTTTTTTCTTCCAAAATTTAAGTTCTTCTATTGTGACATCTTTGACAAGTTTATTGCAACTGGCACGATATATGGGCCTATAATGCAGGCCTTTCATGTGCTCTATCATACGGACCAAAATGTTCTTCTGGGAGCTCCAACAGGAAGTGGGAAAACAATATCGGCTGAGCTTGCTATGCTCCATCTGTTTAATACTCAGCCTGATATGAAGGTATAACCTTTTTCTTTTGTTCACGCTATATTGGTATGTCTTTAATCTTGGCTCGGTTTGTCTATGTTCTTGTGGAGTTCTGCTATGCCTTTGCCAAATCTTGATTTATGGACTTTTAGCTGTCTGTTCCACCAGAAAAAGGACGTAAATGGTAAAAATACCTAACCATGTTAAAAAGACAAGGAATTTTGAGTATATCATTGTTTGGTATGTAAATTTTGCATTTCAGTGGCGTGGCTTGATTGTTTTGGCGTAAAAACTTTCGATTAGTAACCTGATAATGTTGATTCAAGCTGAGACCTGTTATGAACCTTTTCCCTTTCGGGTAGGTTTGGTCAAATTGGTCTTGGCATGACCATGACTCTAGATTTTTATGGTTGGCGGGTTAGACTTGAAAAATAGGATTAGAATTGCGCCACAACATATAATATCTACCTTTCGAATGTAGTTTACTTATCCTGACTTTTCGAATTACAAGAAAACTTATCCTTCTGTTTCACTGAAATGGTATAGATTTTTTCATGCTAATTTAATTTCGTAATTTAAGTTCTTGTTTTATTTTTGGTCATGGATGTTGCAACATTCTCATGATGCCTATGTTATGTATGGATCTGTTGTGCCGCTGCTACTAAGTTAATACTAATAAAAAATTAATGTTAGTGGAATCAAAGTTTTGGGGTTTTTTTCTTGTGGAGTCCATATTCTGATTCTGTTAAGTACTGGAAAAGTTTGGTTGTTTCGATGTTGATGCTTGTTCAAATCCACTTGCATGATGAATGAATTGTCAGGCTTAATATCTGCCTAAATTCCTCACGGTCTTCCAACACAGCCGGCCATTGTCATTTCGAGCACCATTTCTCTGGCTGATGGATTATGGATTAATGTTTTAGTTACTCTAGGCCCACTAGTAGGTCTAAA